TCACGCGTGATATTAATCCTTAATTTTACTCGGCCCCATGCGATTACCTATACTAATTATAATTATCATTGTTATTAATATTATCATTAATCATCATTTATTTTTATTTGTAAACAAGTCACTGGTTTTCTCTGGGCATTTTATATTTTTTCCTTTTTTTTAGGTTCAATATTAAAACTTTTTAAAAGAACCTAATTTTTACATCAGCCCTGTCAAAAACACCTTTTTTCAGCAAGAGTATGTATGTGGGAATTGGATTTCAATAAAGTTGTACTAATCAAATTGGAAAAAAAAATCATTATCATTTAAGTCTTTGAAAAAGTTGACAACGTCAGCGCAACAAATACACCAAAAATAAATCGCACTTTCTACCAAAAAAATCTTTACAAGCGTATTGTGATGGGTATGAGAGTTTTTCCCTTGTTCTAACTCGTGATTTTTCGAAAGACTTAAGCCGACGAAAGAACCATCCTACAGCTTGGCAGCTGGGTTACTGAATAAGACGTCAGTACACTTACCTTTGACTGTATTTGGCGGCTGCGCAGTCGTTACAAAGGACACCACGTCAGAGAAGGACCCAGGCCCCGCGTCATTACACGCTTGGATACGAAACTGGTACTCAGTCCTCTCAAGTAATTTTCCAACCTTATGCGATGTCGTTGGACCACTGAAGACGGTAACGAAGCTGAAAAAAGAGTTCACAGAAAAACAGTTAACGTGGCAGAGAAGGAAGTGGGTTATCCTCTCATTCTGTTTGGTAAGTTTGCTCCAGATCAAACGCGCAAGATGAGTGCAGTTACGGAGCCAAACCCTTTCACTCTCAAGATCTCATTAACAATCAACCTCGTTCCCAGGGTCTCTCGTCTTCCCTCCCCCCTCCGATAAACTCCGATGAGCTCCGACAAGCTCCTGCAAGCTTCGTCAAACTCCAGCAGCCATATCGGGTCTGTCTGGTTTACAGAATTTCACTATCTTTTCGGTGTTACTAACCTTCCGTTTTTGTCCAACATTTCGAGTTTGTACGTCATACCAGCTGTGCCTGTCTTTCCACCAGTACCACGTGATGTCCATCTCAGCTTTAGACTCTGGTACGAGGGCGTGGCAAGTTCTAGCAACGGAGCGGGAGGGGGGAGGTCGCCAGTGGACGCAAACACAGTGGCGCTGAAAATGAATAAATAATAATAAATTTAACTTGGGAGCTTAAAGTGCACCTGACCCCTAAATTTTTTTTTTTCACTTAAAAAAATCTTCCTGCTTTGGTGAGTATTTCTTCGAAAAAAATTGTTGGATTTGGTTAAATCCTCATTTTTTTATGCCCAGTTGAAGCCGAGATCCGAATGGACCACGACCGCGTAAATGGGGATCTGGGCAGAGTAGACTTGTGACGTCACTTCGAGAAGACCCTCAGGGAAATCTCGGCCAGTCGTCGAGCTGCGAAAGCCTTTCTAGCACTAAATTCATTCTGCGGCATATTTGCGACCAATATGGAAAAACTCTCTATCACAAACATAACCAGTAAACTGTGCAAAATGGCGCGAAATACAGATTGTTGGGTTCTCGAAGTGACGTCACATTAGTCGCCAGACTCTTGATCCTTGAAACGCAGTCGTGAGTCAAAATGGCGGTGATTTTAATGCGATTTTCTGTTCTTCAACGGGGCACAAAAATTTAAGGATTAAACCAAATCCAAAAATTTTTTCGAAGACATACTCACCAAAGCATGAAGATTTTTAAAACGAAAAAAAAATTTAGGAGTTAGGAGCACTTTAAGAAAGCTGTGTGAATCTTACAAAATAAACCGCGGAAAGAATGGTCGGCTTGATCAAGTTTAGGAAACGGACTGGCTGCGAAGAACTAGTATTCCATCTAGGAGTGGTAATAATTCTGCTGAAATAAGATCCGATAACATCCGATTAAACTCCAGTAAGCTGTGATAAAACTCCGATAAGCTCCGATAAGCTCCAATAAACTCCGATGACTCACCGGAAAACACCGGAAAACTCCAATAAAGCTCCGATAAAACCCCGATAAAATCCCGATAAACTCCGATAAAACACCCATAAAACTCACATAAAACTCCTATAAACTCCGATAAGCTCCAATTAGCTGATAGCTAATATTCCCGAGTTCAGAGATAAAAAAAAAACATTTTTGACTTCTGTTTACAAAGTCAAAAGCACCAAAAAGTCTTCAGAAAAGACGCAGACAAGTCAGTGTCTCACCTAAATGGTCCACAGCCTATTTTGTTAACAGCCTGAACACGAATTCTGAAACAAAAATGAACAAACGACAAGAAGAATGACTTATTGCCTCTTTTATCTACACTAACTCCCAGTTTTTCAAGGGTTCGACGACTCTATCCACTAGTTTAATCACTATCCAGAGGATAGCAGAGTATTTTCACGCCGACATTTATCTCCTAAATTATGTCTTATCCCTAGGATAGCATTAACGACCTTTCAAACAATCAAGAACTTGGTTTAACTGAACATGTTCCTAACAAAAATGTGGAACCTAAGATCAAGACCCTAACTAATTCTCTTACCTGTAAACAGTGTTAGGTTGAAGTTCGTTGATGTCATAATCTTGATAAGGTGATGTTGTTTCTTCCTCGGCCTCAGATCCTTCGCTGGTGACATCAAAACTGATGTTTTTAAAGCCCGCCACTTCTACGTTGTATGACGTAATAGTGGCGCCATTGTTTCCCGGATGTCTCCAGCGCAGGCTCACGTGAGATGAAGACTTTTGTACCTAAAGAACACGACTCAAATTCAATATTCTCAATATTCCCACGAGACAAAGCTGACGGAGTGGTCACAAGAACTGCAGGAGCGACTACCAAAGGCGCATGGACGATACAACAGGAGTCACACCAAACGCAACGTAGACGTTAAGAAGTTGTATCAGAGTTGTATTCAATAAGCGCCAAGAATGAAGCGTAGTTGTCACGAAGGTAATTCCTCAGAGATAATAGTTGTCGAAAGGTTTTTTCAAACATCTTTGCTGGAATTCTCCACCCCCCCCCCTCCCCCAACCCAATCACTGCTTCAAAATATAGGTTACCGAGCTAGTTTTAGAACAATCTATTGACTGAGAAAAGAACTACAATCCGTCATGTTGTCGGAATGCACCCACTTAAAAGCCAGAAGTTAGAGGCGATGTTGTGCAGAGTACAGCATACTTACAAATGTGGAATTGACACGAACCAAAGATGAACTAACTTCAAGTGCGTGAAGCAGATTACTGATTTTCGAAGTGATTTTCAAACTCACCACTTTTATCGAAGTCACCGCCAATGGCGAAGCAGCCGGGGTTTGACATGTACTCACTGGACTCCACAGACTAGAACCGACTGCACTGACAGCCTGGGGAGGAAAAATCATTCGGGTAAATAATCAACAGAAACAAGTGAATTAAAGAAGGATGCTCAATGTTCCTCGGAAAGTAAACAAACCTTTACTCTAAAGTAATAAAAGCTGGCGGGGCTGACTCCTTTGCGGACTTCACATGTTTTGTCTGGGCCACTGTAAAGCTGAACAGAGAAAAAAAAAAAACTTTAGAACAGCATAAGGCTGACTTGAGTCACTTAAACAAACAAATCAACTCTACACTGTAAGTGCGCCCAAGTGATTCACAAGCGAATCAGGAGGTGCAAAATTTTCTTTATCAGATAATGAGAATTTCCGTATCCTTATTCGCAGGGTGTTCCCTTATTCGCAGGGTGTTCCCTTATTCGCAGGGTGTTCTCTCTTTCGGGGAACTTTCGTGAAGAGTCGGAGAGTCTCCGATTCCAATCGGTCATTCAAAATATGCCATCAGCCCTATGTGAACTGCGACGTCCATTGATTATTTGGCGACTATTCCTCCTCCATGCTACCGACTCAAGACTTCTCAACTTTAATTTTACTTCACGTCTTAACCACTTTTTGTTTGTAAAAATAAACCTAGCTTGGTACCTCAGTAAATGCTCCATCCTCCATCCATTCTAAAGTGTATCCAGTCACTGGCGTACCGTTCTCTGCCGGACACTATAAGAGTCAAACGAAATTTATTTGAACCTACTGTCTATTAGTTGTGCTTTAGGTGATCTACAACCACCTGATAATAAAACACTGATTTCCAATCAACCATCAAAGATCACTGAATAGAGGTGCTCTTCGATTGAGTGTCGTAAAACCAAAACCGAAGTAATAACGATGGCCAGCTGGAAGAAAAGAAAATGACTAGAACTCAAAAGTAAAAACAACCAAACTACCTAAAGCGTGGGAAAACGCGGGAAAACGCGGGAAAACGCGGATGACCAACTCGTGATCAGTTGTAGTTTTGCATCTGATTAGTTGAGAAAGTTACGCGAGTTTTCTGGACCAATCACAGAACAAAGTAAAGCTAGACCAAAGCAAACCCCGCGGATTTTTCTCGACACTTAATCTAAAATTGCTTATTTTCATGATCATTGTCTAGACATAAATTAGTTGCAACATTTTCCCCCTTTTGGCTTAAGATTTGGTACAAGGCGCTAGTAAATTCTCTACCCTTGTTCATCTTAATCAAGCTTGGAAATGCTTCACCAAAATGATTTTATGAAAAGAAAAGGTACTTGATGTAACATTGTTACTTACTTCCCAGGACACGATGATAGCTGCAGCCGAGCGGCATAAAGTGTCCGGCGCTCTTGGAGTGTCAGGGGGGCCTGGTGCTGTGGTTATGTGAGATACTTCTGATACCTTGCCAACCTGTTGACATTGAAAGGAAAGAGTTCTCAAACTGCTTCGTGCGACAACGATTACACACCAAAAGAATAAATTTTCCGCAGAGGACTTGAGAATAAAGTAAAGAACGAGCTTGAAGTATGGAGCCATTTCCAATGCTCTTCATCCTATGTTTTCGGGCGCAATTGGAATTCGGTTTTTAGGTTTTTGTGGAGGGGGGTGGGGGCAGAAAACCGGAGAATATAGAGATTAACGGAGCAAGGACGAGGACT